TTTTTTTTTTTAATTTTATCTCCACAATATATCAGACTGCCTAAATGTGATATTGATTTGCTCTCGTCTTATGTTGAAATGACTTTCTGTAACCAACAATGTCACAACAGAGGGAAACAAATATTTTTTCAGACAAAGTGGCACCAGAGTAAATCAAAGCAATTCTTTAGATATTTTGTGCTGTCAACAGGTTTACGTGACTTTTCGTACATTTATCTTCTGACAGAGACCAAATAATGGACAAACAAGTCCTTTGAAGAGCGGTAAAATACTGACCCAAGATGGCTGCTGTCAAATATGATGAAACAGGAGTCACATGCATGCAACTGTACACATGCAACATACCTCACATACTTAGAAATTTCCACTCCCTTTGTTGTTTCCAGTATTTATTGATGTGGGATATATGCACAAGCAACCTACAGATCATCATGTGTTTAGCTTCGACCTCTCACCAGCTCTTACTTCTCATTTTACATGCAAAATTAGTCTCTGTTTGAATTGCAATAATTACATTTAATATATCTAATGAATACACGTTGAGTGTAATTGTTCTGTTACTTTTTAATGTCATTTTAATTCTTAAGTTTAGTAAGTTAGTTTGTAGACAGAAAATAAAGCAACATTAATTACCTAACCACTCTTAGAGTTACACCCATCTGGAAGGATCAAGGGTAGGTACACAAGTGAGTAAAACTACAGACTGAGATGCTCTTTTTAAACCCTGATTCAGTACTCGTTTTGTTGTTTACAGTTTAATCCATAGCCAAGAAACAAGAGGCCATTTTGCTTCTTGCCGGACAAATTTCCATTTAAAGCATCTTGCTGCTAACATAGTTACCTGCATATACCAATTTGTCTACAGGTAAGGTTGTGACTTACAGTTTAGCATAAGTTTTGCACATAAAATACTTTTCAATTGATACAGTAATTGGTAGTAATAGTTTCCAATTTCTAAATGCTACAGGAGATACAGCCAGTCTTTTTTTTCTTTCTTTCATTTGACTCTGGCAAGGTTGACATGCCATCTCCAGGACCTCAGTGTTTTAACACTGCGGTGGAGTGTGGTTTGTGGCTCCGCTGCAAGGGATGGATTGAGCAGTGGGTTCGGGGGACAGTACCTCCACAGCTGAGGTCCATCACACAAACCACGCCTTCCCTATTTCAGTAGCTGCTAGGGCCCAGAAGAGATCTCTGAGGGTTGGAGAGGACAGCATTGACGGGAGCGCGCTGGAAAGCGTACAGCCTAAAACAAACTGCCATGTCTTATGGTCTTTGTGTCACAAACACATTTAACAGGTCTCACTCAGGTTCATCCCCTCAGCTGGCAGCAGAGCAGTAAATTAAAGTTAATCCAGGCACACCTGGTTCTGTTTTTATCTTCATACTTGTGTGTAATCACATGTGAAAAAAAATATTGACAGCAGTGAGCATGTTCACGTGGCAGCTGATTTGTGGCAGAAGTAAAGACAGTAAAGTTACCATAAGGCCACAAAGAAAGTATGATTGAAATGAACCTGAATTTTCTTTAAATGAAATAATATTTTATTCTGTATAAGATGGTCTGTTACATAACAATCATCTTTTGTGTGACACATATAGCAAAGGCTGTTTTTATCCTTTCCTTTTATATCTGGAGCCTGTTTTCTGTGACTGATATAGATCATGCAGAAAAGTGGCATATTAACCCCTCATCATTCAGGTGTTCAGTAACCTGAGACATATGGCGTGCTCTCAGAAATGAAACACAAAATGACTAGAAGAATACTACACACACAAATATTGGTCTTTCCAGCACAGTTCCTACAATTTTCTGCCAATACTCATCAGTGTTGATTTAAATAATTTGTTCAGTTCTTAGAAAAACTATCAACCGGAAATCCACGTAAAACTGAATTTTACTGTACCGTGCCCAGGATACTCTATTTAGGATTCAAATATTTGGCACCCCCTCATGGTAAACTAGAAAAATAGACAGACAACTCAGAAGTGTGTTTACACGAACAACAAAGTATCTCCTGAGCATAGAAAAATGCATATTGTGCTTCACTTAGAGGGGATTTAGTTTTCAGTACAGCATGGGAAAACACAAAAACAATGGGAGGAGTCCTTGTGGTCTTTTGCTAACTGCAGGAGATACTATGTTTTTCCTTTCTGGTCTGAAAAAACTGACAAATCAAACCACAGAATTTTTAAAATGTTGGAAGTTGTAATGAACACCAGCTACAGCAGTCAGTGAGTTTCAAACTGCTACCATTACCCATGAAAAGTTGTGCACTAGGTCATCTGTTATTGTTTCATATTCTGCATCACAGTCTATCACAACATATTCTAGATGTAAAACTTGAGTTCACAAAGCATATTAGCAAATGTACTGTATTTACTTCCCAGCACTGTTGTTGGTGCACACATATTTTAAACTCCTAATACTTTCTGGTATAAAAGGAAGTAAATACAGTACAATATCAGTAAATACTGATTTTCATCAAAAGAGCTTCAGTGTTACTTAGATCAATAGTGTCCTCTGCTGTTCACATTCACATCTACAGTACAGGCTGGGGCACAACATACTGAATTTAGATTTGTGATTTAAATTTTCAACATTATCAGTCTTAATAATCATGTCTTCATTTCATAAGCAAATATCTCAGTTATCCTGATTACATCAAGGAAAAAAGGTGTAAAACAATGGAAGAGTTTAATGAGAATTTTAAGTCCACTCTGATGCATATAAATTCTCTACGTTTACCTTTTAAAAGTTAATGGTTTTATTATTAATATTATTACGACATGTATCTTTGTATCATGTGCTTACAATATGTTGTGTGTACTGTATCTCAGTTATGACATTTTAAAACATTTCTTTCTTTCTTTTTTAAATGAATACAGCTGAAAGTGGTCAGTACATCTGATTACATTAAATTATTCTAATCGTCACTGAAAAGTACACAATGTAAGGATTAACTGTTAAATCTTGGTTCACAGGACTGGAGCTGCTAATTGGGCTTATGTTGTTAACAGACAATTTTTGGGGGGCTTAAGGTGTAGTCAGAGAATATGTAAAGTACTCTATAAAGAGGAAACCAGGTTTTAGTAACAACATCTTGCTCCTTACTTTCAGATCTGTTCATAGTGCTTTGTCCTAAAGTATATAACAGATTGGGCATTTTTTTCAAGTTACACCTGAACAACGTTTTGATTACAGTCAGGTTTAACCATTGCCAAATATTAAACCACTGTTAAAGAGGAGCAAAGCGTGAAAACAACACATTGCTGATGAGTGTTATTTTTGATTTACAAGTATTTTTCCATCCTTATAATCGTGACCCTGGCCAGTGAAATGATCCAGGGAGCTGCCAGTCCTTTGACATTAGACAGGACACGGTTAAACCCCACTTTGCTGTACAGAACCACGGCTGCCATTTGGGTGGAGGTAGTCTGCAACACCACCTTGGAGAAGCCCCGTTCTTTACAGAAGTCAACCGTGGTCTGAGTCAACCTAAAGCCGAGGCCCATCCGTCTATACTGTGGGAAAATGATCATTCTGAACATTTCCCCATACTTTTCTGTCCCACTGTGTTTAGCTACCACAGCCACCATACCAACAACCTGGGCTCTCGCTCCAACCTCAGCCTCAGCCACCCAGAAACAGTCATCAGGTCTGCTGAGGAAATTCCCAGGGATGTCCTGCATGTCGTTGCGAAGTCTCACCCTGACGACGGTGGCATATACTTCATGACAGCAGTAGTAGATGAGACCTACCCAAGCTGCTGGGAACAGTACAGCCCCAAACACAGAGCCAAGGAGATAACCAACAACACACAGAGTCGGGGTGATGGTGAGGTAAAGGGGACTGGTCATGGCGTTATAGAAACATGGACGGATATGCTCCAAGGTGCCAGTACTGAAGAGGGTGAGCACTGTGTCCTTGTCTGCAGGACGGTACCGACGGATCACCAGCTGCATGACGAAAGTAACTACAAGGAAAATCATAAAACAGTAAGAAATGCTGTTGTTATTTACACTAAATTACATGACCCTTAAGGAAAATTATTTTTTTTACTTAGTTTCCTTTTTTGTAATTTAATTAGATTTTATTAAGTCTGCTTATGTGTAGCACTGTTTGTGGTTGTGTTTAATACAACATTTAGCTGCCACGGGGCGATCTGCGCTAACTTGCTGATGGAGATTTGCCGCGTTAATGCGGTTCTGGCATTAACGTCATTTCGACGAGATCAACACTGACTGGGTTAAATAGCTCTCTATTAGGTTTTTGTGCTTGGCATGACTTTCAGATTCAGTTATTTATGTTACAATCTTAAAATTGAATCAATGTATTGTAAAAACAACATCCAACAGCCACTTTATTACAGGTGATACAACTGCTTGTTGACATACATTTTTAGCCAATCACATGGCAGTGACTCAAACCTATTTGGCAAGTAAACATGCTCACAATATGCTGCTGATATTCAAACCAAGCATCAGAATGGGGAAGAAAGGTAATGTGAGTGACTTTGAACATGGCAAGGTTGTTGGTGCAGAAACTACTGATTGACAGGGTCTTCCTATACAGCCATCTCCTAGGTTTACATAGGGTGGTCTAAAAAAAAGAAAAGATCTAAGGAGTGCCAGTTCTCTGGATGAAAATGCTTTGTTGATGGGAAAAGGCAGAGGAAAATGGCCAGACAGCTTTCAGCAGATAGGATAGAAACAATAATTCAAATAACCACTTGTTACAACGAAGTTATATAGACGAGCATTTTTAAACATACTCGGCTATGAACAGAATGCTGAGACTAAAGTGTCAGCAAAATTTGACAACACAATACTAGAAAAATGTTGCCTGGTCTAATGAATGTGTTTTCTTGCCACACTTTGGGCCCTTAGCACTGGCTGAGCATCTTTTAAATGTCACAGCCTACCTGAGTATCATTGCTGACTCTTCAGTAGCTGGGCCCACGTTCTCATTTTAGGTTTGACAGTGTTTTAGTAGGTAAAGGTGAATGCTTGGACATTAATTGAGGTGCGGTTTGGGGAAGGCCTCAAAGAGGACTGGTGATGGCTCCCGGGCCTGGCAGATCCCCATGTACTAAATAGGAGTGAATAAGTTAAAGAATTGAGAACAAGGAGGGAGGGAGGATGGGGCACGTGAACCAGAATGAACAGTTTGCAGAACTGGGGGGAACCTATATAGATGACAACCGGAAGGAGCGTGTTTGGAGGCGTGGTCCCGCTCCTGAAATTCTGATACATAGTCTCCAATACTTGGGTAGTATTTATCACCACAGTGTACCAGTGCATCCTTTGATGGCAGCTTTCATCAGGATAAAGCACAATGTCATAAAACTCAAATAATCTCAAAGTGGTTAACGGTGAGTTCACTGTACTGAAATTGCCTCCACACTCAC